ATGTCCGCCGACTTATGGTGAGTACGGCAATTCGAGTCCTTTCGAGGAAGATCCTTAAAAAAAAAATCCAGCATAAAATGGACGCATCGCGAATCCCTCAAAATAATTCCGCTCGTCGTCCAAAATGTCCGCCGGCTTATGGTGAGTACGGCAATTCGAGTCCTTTCGAAGAAGATCCTTAAAAAAAAATCCGGCATAAAATGGACGCATCGCAAATCCCTCAAAATAATTCCGCCCGTCGTCCAAAATGTCCGCCGACTTATGGTGAGTACGGCAATTCGAGTCCTTTCGAGGAAGATCCTTAAAAAAAAAATCCAGCATAAAATGGACGCATCGCGAATCCCTCAAAATAATTCCGCTCGTCGTACAAAATGTCCGCCGGCTTATGGTGAGTACGGCAATACGAGTCTTTTCGAGGAAAATCCTTAAAAAAAAAAAAAATCCAGCATAAAATGGACGCATCGCGAATCCCTCAAAGGGCGATCTTCGGGGAAAAAATGGAGTACGGGACAGAGGAGCGCTTGAAGAATTTCGGTACGATTTCGACGCTCGCCGGTTGTGTACATTGGATCGAGTCCAACGTTGCGGCAGACAGGAATGCGGGGGACCCGCGCCGGGAAAAACGGCGCAACGGAAATTGGGGGGCGTTAAACGACACTAGGAGTAACGCCGTTAAACGGTGCTCACAGCGATTAGCGGCGGGAACAAAGCCCTGTGATTTCGATTCCGAGCTCGTTACGCTTATTTACCGGGTCGCGAGACCCGCCTAATTGCAACGCGAGTCGCAACGGCCGTGTAACGGCCGTTACACGGCCGTGTAACGACCGGAGACGGAGACGGACCGTGCCCGAAACAAAGTGCCTTTGCGCGATTCCGACGATTCTTAACGACGAGATCGTGGGTGGCCTCTCGTTAACGGGGAACGTTTTCAGGACTTTGCGATTGTTTTTTTTTGCTCGCGATAACGAGGGGGAAGTTTGGCTCCCCTTTGAGGGGGTCTTCGGGGGCTAGGTGCGGTAGCAAGGAAAGTCAGGGGGTGGCAGGAGGGTGCAGGGACGACGGACGCGGCACTTGCGGCTCTCTGGTTCTCGTGGGGCGTTCACCCCATCGATCCGACCCGGAGTAGCTTTTCTATGGTTGTATTCTTTGCGCCGATGTAAAGAGGGAGACGGGATGACCCAGATTGCCCCGAGCGACGACCAACCCCATTCGGCCCCCCCGCGATCTGTGGCCGCCCTTAACGATTTACGGCACCCGATCGAGATAACGATAACGCCCGTTTCTCCGGGATTCCGTTTAG